TTGTAATCACTGAATACCGCTTCAGATCACGTACGCGCCAGTCTCTAATCTTCAGTTTCAGTCTTCGACGTTTGCTTAAGGATCTTTGGTGTGAGTGTTGTTTTCTTGAAGTAGTTGTCTCTGAATGAATTACAATGCGAGTTCTTCAGCGATCACTGAACAWGCTCAGTGTATTGATCGCTGGAACTGAAAGTACAGAAACAAAATGCATCGAAAGGAAAAAGGGATTATAATCAAATCACTGAGAGAGAGGATCAACACATTCTTATTCCATTCACAAGATATAACATATCAAAATTCCATAATTATGCTAATTATAACATCCAAAGACAGTTTTATACACACCCCCATATAAACAACCATACGGTTGTAATTCCAATTACCAAATAAGGAAAATTTGTAAATAACTCACCTTATGATTCACATAGATGAAGATATGAAGATGAAATAGCAACAAATCCAGTTAAGAAATCACATAATCCAGCTTCTATTTTTGCTTCGATTTCAAAATCACACACATAAGACCTTCTTTCTTTCTTTCCTTGTTACTTGCTTTTTCACCAACCTATTCAGGAGATAACACAAGTATCTCTCAATGACCCATATAAACAAATAAGGTGGTGGGAGTGTTTAAAAAACATTTAAACATAATCACAAAATGAATCCCTCAACTTACCACCACATATTCTAGCTCAACCCCGAGCTTTATAACCGATAAACCCAGTTATTCCATTTGATCGTTCTCCTATTCTCTCATTTGATCATTGTTCTCATTATGAACTAGATTATATATATATATATATATATATATATGAGCGATCAAATGCAAACCACCCAATTTGTACAAACCGTGTAAATCACCTTCATCCGTCGATTTCATTGTTTAATCTTATGAAATGTTTTCATAAAATTGTTTAATCTTGTGAAATTGTTTCATATAATACTTTTTTTTGATGAAGTTGTTTCATATATGATTTTGAAATTGTTTCATATAATACTTAATGAAATTCTAATGAAACTGTTTCACGCATTTCTCTGAAATTAAAATAATGAAGATGATAATATCCATGATTAACACCTTCCACAATAAAAATGATTAATTAACCTCTCATAATTACAAAAAATGAACAAAATGAAAAATTATGATTGGTTGAATGAGGTTTGTATAGTTTGTACAAATAACGTGGTTTGCAAAGTAAACCTCATCTTTCTCTCTCTCTCTCTCTCTCTCTCTCTCTCTATATATATATATATATATGTGTGTGTGTGTGTGTATGTATTAATTACAAATAATATATGTTATATAAAATAAGTTGCTAAAGGGTGATTCATCACAAAAGTTTGTGGGTAATTCAAATTAGTGACAAATTACCTAGGTATTATCTAGGTGATCCGTTGATATTTTTTGAAAAAGCATCAGATTCTACCGAACCATTATTATTTTATGGGCGATTCATCAGTAATCACCAAAGGAAATTTCCCTGGGTGATTTTTGTGGTTAAAAGTTATTTAATTTGTAGTGTATGTTTACCAAACTAGCTGATAACTAAAAAAAATAGTTAATGAACTAATCGTATTTAGTAAAAATCAATTGATAAGAAATATAAAATGACCAATATAACATGTTAATAAATTTGTTAAACTTAAAATTGCATAATATAATTTTACTATATATAGAAATACACATGGGGGAGAGAGAGAGAGAGAGAGAGAGAGCTTTTGCAGACCTTCTAATTAGGAAAAACCATACAAATCAAATATGAATTTATTAAATGTGGATTTCTATAATAAATATGAAATTTTTAGAAAAGATTTTCATTAATTGGTAATTTTAAATAACTATTATACACAATAAAATTTATCAATCATATATATCTTAAATATTTGATCACCAATTTATAGAAGTTTTGTTATTTATCAACTATAAAAAAATATATTTTTATTGTCCATATCATCTACAAAGATACTTCTACTATTATTACATTTGATTACAAAATAACCATGATAAATAATTAATTTAATTAATGACTAAAAATTCATATTAATTAATAATTAATAATTAATATTAATTAAGAATTTGAAATTGATATTAATTAAGAATTAAGAAACCAATAGTAATTAATAACACTTAAACAATAATCATAATATAATTGGGAAAAAATACAAAAAAAAAATTAATGGAGTTTATGATCTCTAAAATATACCTTTTCAATGACTTAATAGTTACAAACATGGCCTTTATTTATTATGTTAGACCATCTACATGGGTTTGTAACATCTGCACCAATTTATTCACAATTTTTCAAAATAAAGACTATAAGTAAATTTCTTCAAAAAAAAAAAAAATACATCAAAGTCCAACAACTTTTATATTTTAAATATTAATTATATTAATAAAATATTTAATAATATAATTGAAGTTATTTCTCTCCTCTTTTCATTTATTTCATTGGTTATTTGAATGTCGTTACATTCGATGGTAAAATGGACTCTTTGAAGAAATTCTCATTTCTTGAAAAATTTGCACTTTACTTTTACTTTCTCAATTTTAAAGAAGTTGTTGAAAAAAAAACAAAAAACCTTTATTTTTTTTAAATCTCCATTTTAAAAACATCGTTGAGAATGCTACCCTTTCATAGATACATACATACATACATATAAATAGGTGGAGGTTCAAACGAGAACACCTCTATTTTACGAGAATACGATAACACCCTTATCACATGTGATAATACGCATGCAGAAACCCTGTGATGAAAGGACGACGTGTTCTATGACTTAGGTCGCGCCAAAGGTTGTCTGTGTATATGATTTAGCATCATTTGTGATGGTCTTGATGAATTATAGTATCATATCAACAACACTCTTATCACATGTGATAATACTTGTGAGGGGCTTAATGGTGTAAGGGAGACTTGACCTGCAACCAAGATTTTATCGAAAATCGCCCGTGTCTCTGATTTAGTATCACATGTGTATCATATGTGATGGAATAATAGTATCACATGTGATTGTCTATAATAAAAGGATGTTCTCGCATTTTCGTTTAAACCCTTATATATATATATATATATATATATATATATGTGGGGCATAATCTCTTTCTTGTAAGTCTTCTTTCAATATACGAAAAGTATTTAGAAATATTTGATGGACAATGAAGAATATCATATAAAATCATTAAAAAGTATCTTGTGAAATTAATGAATTATATTGTAATTGTTTATTTTATTATAAAGTCTGACTAAATAGAAATATACATTTTCAATTCTAGCAAGACGATGATGTCAAACGTTAAAAACAAATGATCAACGAATATATTTTTGGTAAAAAGACTAACCGTAAAAATAATTGATGAAAACAACCAACTAAATATAATAAAACTATGTTCGATATAAACCATCCAACAAAAGAACAACTTTAAGTCTTGAAAATTGAAATACACATTTTTTTAAAAATCTTAATTTTTTTTATATAGAAAATGATGTTTGTTTTATGAAGTAGGTGTGTGTATAATATATGTATGTATGAATGAAGTCATATAAGTTTTATACCAGTTTTGTTCTATATGTAGAGAAAGAATGTGTCGGTACAATTTCTCAGGTATATTTTTCTACATACATTCATTGTGAAATTTATCGGATTTGTATAACGTGAGTTATATATGTTTATAACAAAAGATAAATAACCGCATTTTCCACAACTTTATTTTTCTCATTCATTTTGAATAGTTAATTATACATGTTAATTAACAACATCTTGGGTCGGTCCTTAATTATAACCTACCCTAATTACTAGTTAAAAATTCACACTTGATGAATACTTGGAACCAGGCGAAAATGTTGCTGGAATCACATTTGTGGCAACAACGGTTTTCCCATCAACAGAAGTAAGCCTGAAAGAAAATGGACCTATGAATGATGGATCGATGTCTTTCTTCCAAACTGCACCCCATATATTATCCATCCCAACAAAATTTTGACTACCACCTGCTGCTATCTCTATAGATCCAAAGCCACCATCCCCATCTGCGTATTCTATCGCCGTCGCGAACCAGTATGGGTTGCAATCTTCGTGAACTTTGAACGTAATCCGCGTACCTCCATAATTGCATGGAACCCTATCACACGATATGATGCTTGTTTCACTGATCAAAAAGTGTAATTGTATGTGCAATAGGAAAATAATCGGTATAGAAAGTCATTTGATCAAATTACAACTGACTGGTTATAATTGGATATCCAAATTGGATCAGGTAATTGTTGGATGACACTTCAAAAAATCCAATAAAACGAGTTGATTCAATTATATTACCATCCAAGTATCAAGAATGAAGTGTTTTGTATTTTGGTATAAGAGACTTGTTTAATTCTTATGATTTATGCTTAGAAATGATGTTGGTTGTTCGATTTATATAGATATCTATCTATTTAATTATGAGTAACGTTTTTAAGCGAAATATATGAATAATTTCTTGAAATGGTCGGATAATTAGTTCAAAATAATCCAATCTGATAAAATAAATAACCAACAATAATATTCGTTGGATCGATTATCTGAAGCTAATTGGATTGGATGTCCAAATGTAACATCCAATAACTGAATCCGATGAATCGTGTTGATCATATCTATTGGATGCGAACCGATAAACACCTATATTAAGTATAATTTTTTGAGCATAGACATACCTTTGGAACTGCACGTCAACTTGGCCAAGCTGTCGTAGATTGTGATCTTGACCAGGCAGTGCCATCGCACCAAAAGCAAATCCGCTTAAATCAAAATGAAAAGGTACATTGTTACATGCCCCAGGACACTCATCACTGACGGTCACCTTAATTGGTTCGCCCGAGCAGTATGGTGGTTGATTACAAAATATCTGCATAAGTATTTGCGACCCGTCACTAAATAGAATTAAACATCAACAAAGATGATGAGTGTACATGTACAAGCTTTGTTGTATATAAATACATAAAAAACAAGAGGGAAATAACGAGTGTAGAACATGCCTGAAAACAATGTCCGCACCCTTTCCCATTCAAAAAGATATTCGCATTTCCGGCTGATATCATCGATGACAATGGAGGATCTTTCACATCGTCCTCCCATCCACAAGCTCCTCCTGCCCACCATCACAAAACATAAACCAATAATAAAAAAAACGTAAAATGCATCGAATTACAGATCATATGTCGTAATACAAAAAATTCATTCTACTACCGCTTCCGGCACCCGTTTCATCCCCGTACCATGTTGCCAAAGCAGGTTCAAAATCTTTGAGACCAAAAGTATTATTGTTATGGAGTACAACACATAAACAAGAAGAAAAATATGCCAAAAAAATTGTGATAATAATAAAAGGAGTCGAAACCATTATATTTAACTTGAGGATTAATTTGTTAAGTGAAAGAAATATAAAGAATATGATATTTTGTATCAAACTTTGGACCAATTTATAGGTGATAGAAGTATAATATTTTAATCATGTTTATGATTCTGTAAATATAACGTAATAATGTCTATCCTAACATTGAATGCGCGGTAACATATATCTATATACACACACGTGTATATTTATATAATCTTTTTTACGAATTTAATAAATTAATATAAATTTATAAACTATTGTTTATGTGTTTTTTCATATATGTTTCCACAAATAAATAATATAAAAATTGTTTTTTCACAAATGCTATCTCATAGTTTCACATGTGAAACAACACGTGAAAACCGGTTTTGTAAATTTATACTAATTTATTAGTTTTGTAAATGATTTATTTGTGTGTGTGTTTGTATAGGGAATGGTTCAAATAAAAACACATGTGTAAGCTCATTATTCTATTTTAAGTCACATGTTTAGAAGGATTGAAGGACCGGTAAAATATTAAATAAGTATTTACTTTTTTAGGAATATCGAAAGCATGCAGGTGTATCAAATCATATCATTATCATAGCAAAATCACACAATTATCACAATAAAATCACATCAGTAAAATAATAAAGAAATATTTATTTTTTTTCTTCCATCTTTCCTCTCTCCTCTCCCCATAACATACATGTACACACATATAACTGAGTATTAGCTCAAGGTAACACATTATCAACACTTTCTTAAAAATATTATTATAGTTTAGAAACACATTGTTAACACTTTCTTAGAAAATATTATTATATCTGTGAACATATTGTGAACACACTCTAAATATACGAGATCTAGTATAGTTTGTGAACATATTGTGAATACAAAATCAATAAAACAAAATCTAAACGTATCACTTCTGAACACCCTAGTAAAAAATTATTAAAGTTGTTTACATTGTGTTCACCTTGTGTGCACGATGTATATGTCAATACGGAGAGAGAAGAGAAGAAAGAGATAAGTATGAAATTTGTTAAAAAATGCATTTAGTACTATTTAATGAATAATGATAATTATCTTATTAATTAATAAAATTAAACCCCATACATATATATATATATATATATGTATATATATATATATATATATATATATATGGGGTTGGGTTTCAGTGAGAATAAAAGTTATGATGAGAATGATAAGAAGGAATCTTCATCCTTGTATCAATCATAATTGAAGATCAACACTAATGCAGTAAATCGAGATGTACCAGATAAATCCTCGTGATAAACACAATTTATGGGGTGGGGGTAAGACTAAAAGTGATCAAAGGTCCATATCACTTCTTACGATTCTCATCTTAACTCTTATTCTCATATGATCATTCGTGTATATATATATATATACATATATATATATATACATATATATATATGTATGTGTGTGTATATATATATATATGTATATATACACATATATATAAAGGAGCGATCAAATACATACCGCTCTATTTTGTACAAATCCTACAAACCAATCTCATCCATCTATTTTCATCATCAAAGACCATTATTAAAACAAGTTATTTTAGTAAAGTAAACATATTAAAAAATTAAAGTAATAATTATTTTATCCAAGAAAGCGCAAAACTTATTAAAAGTTTTAAACGTTTCAACTCGTTGAAATATACTTTCCCCGTATTCAATCCTCTTTCCTCACATTAATCTCGTTCAATCAGGAGGAGGGCGATATCATCCCTGTTTAATCGGAATACGATTACCAAAACAGAAGTTGGGTGAAGATATTTGAAGAAATATGGCAGGACACAATGAAACATTTTGAAAACTGAATAATATGATTTCATTAGTGAAATTGGTTTCATTAATGAATTTTTTTAAAAACTAAAAAACATGATTTTATTAGTGAAATTGGTTTCATAAATGAATTTTTTTGAAACTGAATAACATGATTTCATTAGTGAAATCGGTTTCATGGTTCCTAATCAAAATACAATTTGATTTATTAATGAAACTAAATATGGTTCAGTCAATGGAATATTTTTGATAATTGAATAACATGATTTCATTAATGAAAATTGGTTTCATGAATGAAACATTTTGAAAACTGGATGATATGATTTAATTAGTGAAATCGGTTTCATGTTTCCTAAACCAAGATGAAATGGTTTCATGTTTTTTAACCAAAATGAAACTGAGTTTATTAATGAAACTAAATATGATTCAGTCAATGGAACATTTTGAAAACTGAATAAAATGATTTCATTAATAAAATTAGTTTCATGGTTCCTATCGAAAATGAAATTATTTTCATGAATGAGACAATTTGAAAACTGGATAACATAATTTCATTAATGAAATTTGTAAGGAAATTAATTTATTCATGAATTTTACAAATGAAACAAAACAATATATTCAAAATCTGAAAAATATCACAACTATATTATTAATAAATCTGGAAAGATTTGTAAATTGAAAAAAAGATACTTTCTTTTGTTATTATGAAATAAAATAAATAAATTCCTAAGAAAAAAATGATTATAATTAAACTCCGAAATTGACGGATTTTTTTTATTTTTACCGTTTCCTAAAAAACCTCTAATTTATATAATTTTTCATATTTAGACACATTTACAATATTACCAAATTTATCTATCATCAAGTCAAAAGACAAACATACCCTTATGCATTAAAAATAAAAGGAAAAAATGGAATTATGCTATTGGTTGATGCTAATTTGTATAGTTTGTATAAAATGGATGGTTTGCAAAGTAAACCACCTATATATCCCCACACACACACACACACACACATATATATATATATATATATAACCTTTTAATAACTTTCAAATTCGTGAGATCTAACCATAAAAAAATAATTAAAAATATCTCTAATTTAATTTAAAAAACTCTTTCTATCTATCATTTATTCTCTCTCTATAGCATACATGCGCGTGCACACACACATATAATTAAATATACATACAAAGTAAACACATTATGAACATTTTTTTAGAAATAATATTATAATTTGTGAACAAATTGTAAATACACTCTAAATTTACAATATGGTATAGCTTCTGGACATATTATGGACGACAACTAAAACAACAAAACTAAATCTAAACATATCACTTCTGAATACATCAGTACAAAATTGCTTAAGATTGTTTTCATTATGTTTGCAATGTGTCTTCACTTTGTATACGTATATATTTAATTGTGAATGCATGTATAAGTTACAAAGAGAGAGAGAGAGATATTAATGAAATTTAGTTTTTTACTAAAAAAATGCATTAATTGTAACATTGATTATTTATATAATTATCTTAAATTAATGATTTATAATAGATTTTATACATCTCACAAATTATAAAATTCTCAAATAATTAAATTCGGTCATTCACATGATATTTAATTTAAGTTTGACAATATATTTAATAAATGTCAATATTTGATAATAAAACCATCTAAAATTTAATAATGGAATCCTCTCTCGCCTATATTATCTCACCTTTCTCATATCTTTTCTGTCCTCTCTTCACAAAAATAGATGATAATCTGTTTCTATTGATATATTTTATTCATAAAGTGAAATCAGATATTATTCAAATTGTTCATCTTGTAAACCGTTTTGTGAAATCAAACATCATTTACATTGTTCACTTTGTGAACCATCGTGAACATCTAGTTAATGTCCACCTAATCCACCGTTTTTTAATTGGTCTTGTGATATGGAAGAGGTAACAAAAATAACGGACAATTACAAATTGATACATATGTAACTGACTTTACTAAAAAATGGTTTGATAAATTGTCGTGAATTAACAAATTACTAACTTTTTTAATAAATAAAATTAATTGAACCAAATAAATGGACTATAAATGGATCTCACATATTTTAAAAATCTCAAATGATTAACTATATATATATATATATATATTACAATGGTTATAACCAAATTTTAATCACATCAATTGGATCACGTCAATCAACATTTTGGATGGGTTGCTCGATTCTTTTTATTTTTAAGATTCTCTTTGGATCTTTTCCTTATATGAGTGAGATGGACGAGAGTTGAAGCATATTCAACGAATTATTTATAATTTTTCTAAAGCAAAAAACTAAAAGTTAAAGACTTTAAAAACAATTATATTTAATTCTAAAAGAATATATATATTTAAAGATTAATTATATTATTAAAATATTTTATAAATTATTATCATAATATATTTTATTTAAATATTTAATTTCAATAATACTGATTGATTGGAAGAATCAACAAAAAATCTCTCATTAGCAACTAATTTAAAGATGTCTTTAAAAATTTAAAACATTTACTTTATTTTTTCTATTTTCTCCATTTTAAAAAATTTGAAACCTAAAATCAACCAAAAATCCCCAAAAATCTTATTTTTTTATATTTTAAAGAATCTTTTAAAGATGCTCTTAAATAATTCTCTAAATTTACAGATATACAGTTATCCTCTTTTATTTTCTTTACTAAAGAATGTTTTAAATTTTAATTAAACAAAATAACCTCCAAAATCTGTATTTTAAGATACTAGAATGGTACTCGCACAATGCAACGAGATACATCTCGATAATGTTTTATTTTGTTATTTGTCTCTATCGATGTTATAATACAATTTTATGTGTTTTTAAAAAAACAATAATTATTTTATTTTTGAATAAAATATAAATTTGAAGATATCATAAAAATTTAAAAAATATATATATATAATAATGTTAATATCAAATCAACTATTTAAAAAGTTTTCATTTTTTATGTAATTTTTTTAAGTTATTTTTTATTATAATTTAATTTAAGTTAAATAATAAAATAATTTATTTTTGGTTTAATAATATAACATTTTATAAAGATAATAATTAAGTATTTTGTTAGAATTCAATGATTATCCTAATTATATTTTAGATTTTTTATATTTATAATGAGATGTTTATCCTATAATTGATTTTGTTTATCTGCAGTTAGTTACACAAATTCAGATATGGAGCTTTAATAAGTTGTACTTATGCACAATCTACTTATAATCTTGAGTTTTAAGTAACATGCATTAATAAACAGTATTTTATGCATAAAAAGTGGTTTTTAAGGGTTTTTGTCAAATGTTTTATAACATAGTATAGATTTGTTAAGATAGGCGGGTTTATATCCTCCAAAAATCTAATCGCAGGTATACTATGTCGAATCAAGTAATATGTATGGGAGTATGAGTATCGAACCAAAGAACTAGAGACTGAATATCATAATGACTATGACAACAATTAACGGGATGGCTGATTAAGTTATTCGTTTGATTAATTAATTATCTATTCAAACTAAACAACCCTCATGCAATTTCAAAAAATAACTAAAGGTGGGAAGTTTATTAGTGGAGAAAGTAACTTGGAGTTAAGGGTGTTTGCGGTCCGATTTGGACGGTTTAACCCCTCAGACCACAAACCAAACCGTAATGACGGTTTATAAAATTTTCAAACCGAGCGATTTGACATCAAGTGCTCAGACCGCTCAAACCAGACCATAAAAAGGCGGTATGGTCTAACCGGTTTAGGCAGTTTGGGCTTTTAATGGACTTTAAATATTAAACTTAAAAAACATATATAATTTATAACTTTAGATTAAATATCCATCTCGATTATGTTAGATGTTAGGCTTTAAGTTGGGTTTAGGGATATATTTGAGCTATATCCCAAAAGTTAAAAAAGTTGGACTTGTTAATACAAAAATAAATAATTAAATTATACATATATATATATATATATATATATATTTGGCGGTCGGTTTGGTCCAAACTGCCCAAAAAAGGTTCCAGTCCGCAGACCGGACCGGACCGCCCGGTTTTGCTATTTTCCAAACCAAACCAAACCGTCAGACCGCTCAAACCGCCAAAAACGGTCCGGTTTGACTTGGTTCGGCCAGTTTGAGCGGTGCAACGGTTTTTTTGAACACCCCTACTGGGAGTTGGAATCTAGTTGATACTTAAATAGAACACTTCAATTGTGACAATTATCAATTTAGATAATTAAATGAATGCACAATCTGAATTTCCTTATTACCCCCTCTCGAATTATAACACGTTATCTCTAAGAACGTAAATTATATGCCTCGACTTTAACACAATCAAAAATTCAGAAAATCAAGATTGATTAATAGAACAACGGCTTAACTGGCATATATATCTACAAGTTCTCACCTTATACATACAAGTCACATAATCTAATTTTGAATTACATTTGTCTAAGATAACCCATAATTATTAAATCAATTGTAAGGTGATCAAGCTCACAAACACATTAAATACACACACTACAACAAAATTAGCTTTATAGAACGTCTAGATTGTCTAAGCGTCCTAATAGAATACTTTATAGAACTTAGATTTATAGGACCAAACCAAAAAACGCATATCTAAAAGTGTTACAATAGATTTATATGATGCTTTTACGCGTTTTAACAAGTTTTTAGGACGTCCTTAAAATAAAATGTCTTGTTAACTATTTTATAAGACACTTTTGAAAAATATCCTATAAACCCATCTTTTTATGGGACATTTGTGTGTATAAGACACTTCTTGAAATATCTAAAGAAACCCTTCATTTATCGAAACCCACGATTGATCAATGAATAGCTCTTCAGATCTTTAATTGCGATGTGATCCATAGCTTTTCGCCGCTCCAAAACAGAGATTCTTCAAAATAGGTGCTCAATGTTATCAGAACCCTAGTTGCAAGCAATTTAAGTTACAAAACAGGGTGGTTACATAACCTCTCACGCGACTTGGGTTGTAGGGATGGTCTCGTGTGTCTTACCTGGCTTGGCGGCTTGACTTGCGTCTGGGGTATCATATCATACTATTTTGGCCTTTTTGTAACACCCTGTAATTTAGAATCATCATTTGTGGACCATTTGAACACTTTGGTATGTAAAACCTTACATTTATGTGTTATTAACGAGCTCATATTTGTTAATGGAGTTAGAGGACCAAAATCTAGAGTTCTCAAGCTTGGCAGAACCCCACGCGACTAGCCACACGACCAAGGTCGTGGCTAGAGTCACGTGACTCACTAGAGTTTGGGGTGTTTTGGGACGGGTGACTAGCCACATGACTATGGGGCAAGGTCGCGGCTATCGTGCAGATTGATTTATTGGCTGATTTTTTTCAAGGGTTTCTCATTTTACTCTTCACCTGTTGTAATACCTTGAGTATTTAATCTTAGAATATTTGGAAAGTTCAGGGGATTGAGAGTATTTGACCTTTAGTTGAAATGTTTACTTTATATAAAAATGGAAAAAAGAAGGAAGATCAAAACCTTTGGTCAAAAAGCCTTTTCATCTCCAAAAGTTGTAGGTAAGAAGTCTTTCTCTTCTCCTTTTATTATAAGTTTTGGTTTCCTCCTTAGGAGTTTTTGTTAGGGAAAAGTCTAAAAAAACCCAACGGATTTTAGTGTTTAGAATGATTAAATCATTGGACAATATTTTGGAACAAATAAGTCCTTGGACATTCCAAAACTTGTTAGATACATTCTTATGACCTATACAACTGGTTAATGTGGTAAAATGATGGAAAAAGTCTGATAAAAACCAATAGACTTTCATATTTTAAATGATTATGTCTCTAAAAAAAATTAAACCAAAAAAGTACTTACATCTATAAAATGAAATAAATATACCAAAAAAAATATTTACATTTACAAAAAAGTACTTACATTTAAAAAAGATTATTGATGAAATATATTTTAATTAAAAATAAAATATTTTCTGTCAGTGATTTTTCAAATTAAAAAAAATAAAAAAAGATTTTTAAAGGATTATTGATGAAATTTATTTTAATTAAAAGTAAAATGTATTCCTTTGGTGATTTTTCAAACTAAAAGAAAAGAAAATAATTTGATCAAATTACAGATGGATTAACGATAAAATTTAACTAAATACTTAATTAATTAAAATTCGTCGCTAATATGTTGATGAAATGATATCACCGAAAGATTCAAGCATGATTTTTCACACTTATTAACATGTTACTGTGTTAGAGTGTCTGACGATGGTCATGTTAGCCATCAATTAGATATAAGTAGTTCATACATATATACCAGTGAACACCGGCGAAATTTTTTAATTAATTATGTATTTAGTTAAATTTTATCGTTAAACTGTCAGTAATTTAATTAAATTATTTTCTATTTTTTTGGTTTTAAAAATCACCAACAGAATATATTTTACTTCAATTAAAATAAATTTCATCAGCAATTTTATTTTAAATATATTTTTTATTTTTTTAATTTAAGAAATCATATGTAGAATATATTTTATTTTTAATTAAAATAAATTAATCAGTAATTTTTTAAAATCCTTTTTTAATTTTTCTATTTGGAAAATCACTGATAAAATATTTTTCGTTTTTAATTAAAATAAATTTCATCAATAACTTTTTTAAATGTAAGTACCTTTTTTGTACATATAAGTACTTTTTGGTATATTTGTTTCATTTTATAGATATAAGTATTTTTTTGGTTCAAAAAATGTTTAGGAACTTAATTGTTCAAAAAATTTATAGATATATTCGCGTAATATATCGTAATACATCTTGATTTTATTATTTATTTATGTCGATTTTATCATACGATTTGGAGAAAATGATTATGTTTTTATATTTAAATAAAATATAAATTTGAAGATCCCATAAAATTTATATAATTTAATTTAGGTTTAATAACGAGATATTTTATTTTAGGCTCAATAATATATTATTTTTTATAAATATAATAATTAAATATTCTGTTAAAACTCAGTTATTATCCTAATTATATTATAAATTTTTTATTTTTAAAACGAAATGTTAATTATGTATTTGATTATGTTTAACATTAATAAATTCTACTCATGCATCATTTACTTGTAATAAAAAAAGTTTTTAAAAATTTAACCTAAATACTTTATGATATAGTATAAATTAATTAATTTGTAATAAATTCACCAAAACAATTTAAAAATAAATAAATAAATGTAGATATTAAAAAAAGTTGTAAAATAATTTGTTATTTAACCATTCACTACAATGATTTTTAATGGTTTTTCTAATTGTTACATTGGATTTCTAGTTAAAAAATTATCGAAACTGGTTTTTGCTAATTGGTAATGTTAAATCAGTATATTTTGGTATTAATTAGTTACAGTGAAAAATATTTAATTGTAGTTTTATTGCTATATATTTAATTAAAAATACATTTTTTTATGATGAAGTGTCATTTTAAAAAATGGTTAGAAAGATAATTTTTATATAATTTTTAAATGTGTTAAAATTGCATCGTAGTGGATATACATATTATGTGGTACACTCTCTTAGAAACTGTGGATAATCTTAACAGTATTCAATCTCAATAATCTTTTATTTGACTACCGAACAGCTTGCAGGCATTAGTCGACCCACATCGGGCAGGAAGTTGTTTTCTGTGATACAGAGAAGATTAGCATGGCCCCTGCGCAAGGATGACACGCACAAATCGAGAAATGGTCCAAATTTTTTTTTCTTTTACACCGCGGCCGTCAGTTCCTGGTTCACGTTTCTACTGACTTCATTCGAATCATATAAGATTTTGTTAGATCACAAACTTGTGCATACTATCTGGAAAGATGGATTTAATTGGTTGGATTACTACGAATCTTTTTTCATCCATACTTGAGAACTTCAGAACTTATTATGCATGATTATGTACCATTTCAGTTGTGTAACTTGGAGCTTTTCTTTTTTGCAATTATTTTTAGTTTCATATCTATACATAATCTTTCTTGTGAACTTACTTGGATTCAAGTATACAAAGGATAAACTTATGGAGGCCTTTTCGTTCTTTCTTTGTGTTGTAATAATGTAATCTAAAGTGCTTGATATCAATGAGAGACCAATGAACAAACCTTTGCTGAATTTTGAGAAGCTATCCATCAGCAATTCATCTTGCAGGTATGTCTTGAATGTGTTTATGCATTTAAGCATTTAAGTGATTTTGTTTCGAACCTCAGTTCATTGGTTATGTTTACTGTACACTCACCATTAGATGCTTAAATCAGCACATTAATTTTATGTAATGGTTGTGCTATTAACAGTGAATCATTTCTAGTTAGCTAAGTGTGGAAAAAAGGTGTGGATGAAGGGATGCCCATTGCATTGTTTGCTCATCTACATGTTTCTCTTGCTGGAAACTGCAGTGGTGGTGAAGGGCACGAAATTTATTGCAACTTTAGCAAGCTTTGTTGGTTAAAGTTGGTGGCTTGGATGCCACTTTTTTATCCCCGAATGCATGATTTTGAACAAGAGAATTGAAACTCTGCAAAGTATCTACTGTTGCTGATTGCATTTAAAACAGTTTCCTGGATGGAAAAGATCAATAGAAACCATGCAAAGTGCCTTTTCAATTGTATAGGTTTATATGGGGATGGAGGTTGTATTATGCTTATGGCCTTCATATTGTCTGCTAACTAAAGTTAATGGGCACTGGTTTTTTAGGAGTTGTGATGCTAATATCCAATATATTTTTGTGAAACCAAGCAAACCACATGGGACGAGGTGAAACTTTTGCCACCTGACATTCATGCACCTTTGGTAATTTGCAAGTATCAGATTTTAGGGATCTTGGTTGGTTTTCCAAAGCAAAGTGAGTATGTAGGCCAATATCCGGAAATATAGACTCTCGAAAATAAGGCGGCCGACTAATAAATCTTTCGTTTTTCCGTCTATTCTGTTACATATTGGTGTTAAGAATATCTCAGCAGTGTGCATCACATTACACAACTTTAGTAGTTACTTATAATGCTTTTCTTGTAATTTTTTCACATTCATGCAGGTGTTGAAGACTTATGCAAGTTGTTTGGTTTCATGTAGGTGGTTTGGTTGCAGGTTCTTAGCATTGGGAGAGGGAGTGTAAGCAAAGAAAGAAGTTAATTCATAGAAAGCTTCAAGACCAATAATAATGGGCACTCTCTCTCTCTCTCTCACTATATATATCACACATTCTTATCTTGATGTAGACTTTTGGTATTATTACTCAACATGACTTAGGTGCCGTTTACCAAATGCTTACTAGGGTAAGCGCTTACCAAGTCACTTTCCTTTACCGGATGAATATGGCAAGGACTAAAAATCTTACCCGATAAGAGCGAACGCACCCGGTAAGTGAGGACGACCACTCTTACCATGGTTAGCGCTTACCGGGATTATATTGTTGCATACGATGCGTTTTAGTGAATATAATCTTACCTGGTAAGTAAGCGATAGTGTTGAATTTTACCGATAAATGCTTAACGGGTAAGTGTTTAGGTAAACGGCCCCTTAGACTCACTGAGATGACCATTAACATGATCCAAATTTCAAAAGGCCTAGGAGATATTATGGAATATCCCATCTTTTCCTGGTTTGAATCCAGATATTAACATCCTTAGTCTCGGATGGCCGAAATGTAGTATATATAGATATATATGTATATACTACAATTATGAACAAGATGAATTGAAGAACAACAATCCAGTGATTTATATAAGACCATATGACTT